TGCAAAAAGGGAACGTCTGAGGACATGAAGCATCCAGACACCTCCCAAGCACAAGAACAAGGGCGGGTTTCCAGGACCAGGACGACGGTCTCTGGGGAGTGAAGTGGGCTCTCCCGGCAAAGAGGAACAGGCACAGGAAAGAGAGAGAGGACAGGTGCTCAGCTGCCATGGAGACCAGGCCCCAGCTCCTAGCTGGCACAGGTCCCACTTCCTGGAGGCTGCGTGTGAGGTCTCAAGGGGACACCACTGATGGTCTGAACCAGGGCTGAGAGTGTGGGTTCAAAAGCCTTGTAGCTCCTCTTTTAAGAGGCAGCTTGTTTCCCGAGCCGTGGGTGGAGCTGAATCTGCAGGTGGCCATTAAGAGATGGCAGCTGGAGGGTGGGGACGGGGGTGTCCTGACCAATCCCAGGGCAGAGGGCCAGGCGTTGCAGGTACGGGTGGATTAAGCTCCACATTCCTTTCTAGAGCCTCTCAGTGCTGAGATATTTTCTTTGGCACAGGAATATTTTTTTTTTAAATCCGAATCCTAAGAAATGTCATGAAGACAGATTTAAAGTTAAAATTTAAATGACTACTCTGGTCCCAGGTGTGGGATATACAGGCTATAAACAGTACCAGAAGGCACTTGGGATCCTGGAACAGGCTTGGGAATCGAAGGCACTGCTTGCTCTGTGAAAATGGCAATGTGAGAGGAAAGAGGGCCTGGGGGGGCAGGGGGTGGGGGGACCTTCGGGTGCCTGGACGTGGAAACCGCCCGGCGTTTGCACAGAGTGGGAGCGATGCTGCACTCTCCAACAGGCCAGTGCCTTTCGGAGGCCACTGCCTAGGTTATCTGGGTCTCCCACAAAGCCACTGGTCCTGGGCAAGACCCTGCGTGGCTGAGACCTCCCCACCCGCCCACTCCCAGCCCAGCCCGGCCAGGAAGGGAAGGGCCGCTCGGGGAACTGGTTACAATGTGGGAGGAAAGTATGTTGGAGCCGCTCCTTAGGAGATAGAGCTGGCCACAAAATGTTTATTCTCCTCCCAAGCTCACTCCACGTGTGCCATTGTTTCTTTTCCGGCATGTGCCACTGTTTCTCTTCCCCCATGTGCCTCTGTTTCTCTTCCCCCATGTGCCTCTGTTTCTCTTCCCACATGTGCCACTGTTTCTCTTCCCACATGTGCCTCTGTTTCTCTTCCCCCATGTGCCACTGTTTCTCTTCCCACATGTGCCACTGTTTCTCTTCCCCCATGTGCCACTGTTTCTCTTCCCACATGTGCCTCTGTTTCTCTTCCCCCATGTGCCACTGTTTCTCTTCCCACATGTGCCTCTGTTTCTCTTCCCCCATGTGCCACTGTTTCTCTTCCCACATGTGCCACTGTTTCTCTTCTCTCTCCCTGTAGAAAGGCGTCCTTTCTCACTCGCAGCCCTGACAGGCCCCTTGGTCCCCGCGGCTGAGCTTTGCAGTTAAGGTCCCAGTGGGATGGGGGTTGTGCTGTGTGCCAGGAGCCTGGTGGAGGAGTGAGGGATGTGGGGCCCAGGAGGCAGGGAGCGCTGGCCTGGCCGGCCTGTCCGACAGACAGACAGACAGACAGCTCCGCAGGGATGTGCTTCTGTCTCCTCCTGGCGCAGCTGGAAGGCCCAAGGCTCACGCGCTGGGGGAGCGGGCAGGCTGCGGGGGACTAGAGATGAGTGACAGGGCTGGTCCAGGAACACTCCTGTGCGGGACTGGGGAGGCAGGAAGGCAAGGAAGGAAAGCCGCCTCCTTGGGGACCATCCGGGTCCCTCCGGGTTCTGGAGAGGCCCCTGCCCATGAGGGCTGAGCACTCAGACGGGTGCGCCAGGGCATTCGGTCTGGAGAGGAATTCCAGAAGGGTCGGGCTGGGAGCTCCTTGCTTGTGGGGCAAGCCCGGTGCTGGGAGGCCTCAGACAGCCCGGGGGCCCCCAGCTGGGTCAGGTTCACGTCCTCCTGGTGGGACACCCCGGGTTCAGGGCAAGGTTTGGTGCAGACCCCTCTGGATCCATTTTGATGCCCGAGAAGCAGGCGGTACAGAGAAAGTAGATAAAACCTAGAATTCCCTCTTTTCCTCCCTTCTGTCATGTTTCCAGAAACCCTGGCGTCACAGTCATTGCCTGATTTCTTCCCAAATCTACCCCCAACAACCACCACCTTTTTTTACTCAGTTTTTTTTCCCCCCAGATTCTGTTGTGTTTTTTTCAAGCTTTAAGATTTACCTTACTGCAATATTTTCTTGAAAAAATGAAGAGTCCGTAAGGTTTTGCAGCGGTGGCGAAAAGGGGGGGGGGTGGAAAACCACGTGGCTTTATTTAGTACTCCCGGACGAGGTTCTGGGGCCCCAGGAGACGGGGGGGGGGGGGCAGAAGTTGCCTCCATTTGAAGTGGCTGCCGCCTTTTATACCGTTTGGGCCAGGTTAGGGATTTTTGGCGGGAAGAGCTGGGGTGACCTTTGGTGGTCATTGAGAAATAGGAGGGGCTGGTAGTATTTGCGGAATCCAGGAGCCAAAACGTTCTCATCCGGGTGGACATCTGGGTGTGGTTCCTCTCAGGGGGCCTGGCAGTTTTGTCCTTGGAGAGTCTGGTCTCGTGAGCCTTTTCTTTTTTGATCTAGGTAGAGGAGGAGGCCTGCCACCAGCCTTACAGAGTCCACCAGTGGATTCTCATTGTACTTAGACTGAAACTGACGCTGTCCTGTGGCCCACAGAGTTCTGGGCCGTGGGCCTCACCGCACCACCCTCCTGCCTGCCCTTCCTCCTCCCACCTCCCTGCTCCGCCACTCTGGGCTCCCACCTGCCACAAGCAGCTGGCTTTCCTTAACTCGGGGCCTCTTCTTCCATCTCCGAAGCCAGCAGTGGTGGGTCACGTCCTTCCCAAACTCTCACCTCCCACGTCCTCACAGAGATTCCCTGCTCTGGTGGATTCTGGCAATTGGTTAAGGCCCACCCCGTTAATCCGAGGTGATCTCCCTGTCTCAGAAATCCTTAACTTAATCACACCCGCAAAGTCTCTTTTGTCATATGAGAGGACATAGTCACATAAGTTCTGGAGGTTAGGACAGGGACATCCTTGTGAGGCCTTATTGGGTCTATCACGAGTGTTTGGCCACTTTAGTTGACAAACATAATCTCATGTCTCAGATTAATCACAGCTGTGAAGTTGATTTCATGTAAATTCTTTTCCCCAGCCAGGCCCTCCCCTCCCCCCAGCAATGGGAGGGATGGGGACATTACTCTGCTTCTTGTTTGTCACCTTCTCCAGGTGGTCATCCCCGAGGGCAGGGTCTTTGTTTTATTCTTAGTGTTTCCATTGCCTACCTCAGGCATGGTCTCTTGCTCAATAAACGTTCAGCCAATGAATGCTAACGGGGACACATGGCCCATATAGCTCTGTGCTCTGTTTTCACTTGAGATATAATTTGCAGGCCATCCTGCCTTGAAGGGCAACAGAAGTAGCAGAAAGTGGCAGGGCCCTGCTAGAGTGGCACAGGCCGGCCACAGAGGGCTTTATTGTGCCCATGGGTGGGAAGAGCACCCCAAGGGATGCTCTGAGAAGCGGGTCTGGCCGAGGCAGTGCTGCTAGTAATCAGCTAGATGTCTGGATTCAGGGTTGAGAGCTTTTTGCCTCAGGGCATCTTCCTGGGCTGAGGCTGGGTAGGTGTGGAGGGTGGGCAGGAGCACCGCGTGAGCACCTGGCCTGTCACATGGTGTCCAGGCTGCTGTAACAGATACTGCAGACTGGGTGGCCAATACACAACAGGTGTGTAATGCTCTCAGCTCTGGAGGCTGGAAGTGCAAGATCCCGGCGTGGCAGGGGCTGTGTCTGGTGGGGACTCACTTCCTGGTTCACAGATGGCACCTTCTCGCTGTGTCCTCACGTGGTGGAGGGGGCGAGGGAGCTCTCTGGGGTCCCTTTATAGGGGCATTAATCCCATCCATGAGGCTCCACCCTCATGATGTCATCACCTCCCAAAGGCCCCGCCTCCTCACGCCATCACCTTGGGGTGAGGGTTTCAGCATGAATTTTAAGGGGCCACACACATTCAGATCATAGCATGTGAGAACTAGAAAATGCCATCAGAGGGTGCCATAGGCAGAATTTCCTATTCCACCGTTGGTGCAGACTGGGTCCTGTTTACATCAAATCTCAAAAGTTGCAGCCACTGTCACCAGGATGGCTATGATGAAAGTTGTGAAATAAGTGTGGCAAAGGTGTGGAGAGATGAGAACCCTTCTACGCTGCTGGTGGTGAAACGGCGCTGCCACTGTGGGAAACAGTTCGGCATTTCCTCGAAAAGTTAGACACAGAAATACCATCTGACCCAGCAGTTGCACTCCTGGGTGCGCAGCCCTGAGATTGGAAGCAGGAACTCAAGCAAGTACTTGTACGCGCGTGTTCACAGCAGCACCATTCACAGTGGCTCAGAGGTAGAAAGAACCCAACATCCATCGCTGGATGGATGGATGGATGGACAGAGTGCCGTCTGTCCGCACCACAGAATGGATTCAGTCATAAAAAGGAATGAAGCTCTGACACCTGCTACCACGTGGGTGAACCTCGAAAACATCATGCGCGTGGAAAGAAGCCAGGCACAAAAGGCCACGTAGCATTTGCTTCCATTTGTGTGACATGTGCATGGAGACGGAAAGTGGGTCAGTGGTTGCGGGGGCTGTGGTGGGGGAGGGCAGGGAGGGCTCAGTGGGGACCGGGCCTCCTTTGGGATGACGAAAACATTTTGGAACTAGACAGTGGCGATGGCTGTACAGCACTGTGCGTCTACTAAAGGCCACTGAATTGTTCCCTTTCAAATGGGTGATTTTATGTTATGTGAATTTCACCTGAATTAAAAAATTAAAAATCCTCAGCAGCAACACAAGGAAACGTTGCGGCGGGTTTTGCTCTGTGTGCGTGGTCCTGACCTTTCCGGAGCTGCTGGTCTGGCAGCTCCAAGGCGGGACCGCTGGGCGCCCCTGAGCCGCGGCCGCCGTTGTGCTTGTGTCCTAGCACCGTGCTGCTGTACCACATCATGGCGTGGGGCCTGGCCACCCTGCTGTGCGTGGAGGGAGCCGCCATGCTGTACTACCCCTCCGTGTCCAGGTAGGCCGGACTCCCCGGGCCCCCGGGGCGGGGGCAATCCCTGGCCTGTGCTGTGCTCTCCGACAGGGGCCCTGACACACAGAGTCCGGCCATTGTCTTGGGGCCACCGGGTGTGGCGCTCACAGCCAGGACCCGGAGGGCTCGCTGCAGTCCCTTGCACCGTGTGGCCGTGTCCCCGCCTCTGCCCCTCCTGACTGTGTGCCCAGGCGCCTGTGCGCACGTGTGCAAGGCTTTGCTGTAACCCTCCGCGTCAGTCTGTGTCCGAGTTTTAGGTGTGCCCGCGTGTTGGTGTGGCTTCCTCACGCCCTCTCTTTAATCTGTATTCTCCACGCCTCCTCTGCGGGAGCAGGTGAGTTTGACACTCTGACTCGGGAGGATGCGGGACAGGGGACAGGAGCCCTGGGGAGAGCGCGTCCTGTGCCTCCGCTCCCTGCACGTCCTCACTTCTCTTCCTCCTGCATGCTCGGCTGTGCCCAACGCAGGGACAGGCAGGCGTGGCTGCCGAAACGGCTTCTTCACGTTTGGATTCCTGTCCGTGCAATCCTGGGCTGCGAAGCCTCCCCGCAAGGCTATGCACTCTAACTTCCAGGGTAAACCTGGAACACAGGTGGACAGTGTCGCTTTGTCTGCGATTCTAGGGCTGTGTAGACCAGGGACCAGCACAGCACAGCCCCCAGGACTAACTCGGCTCCGCCTGTTTCTGTACAGAGAGTTTCATTGGAGTGCAGCTGCACGCATTTGTCTATGTCCCCTGGCTGCTTTTGCACGACAACATCACAGCCGAGTAGCGGCAACAGACACCACCATGTGGCCCGGGAAGCTGAAAATATTTACCATCTGTCCCCTTACAGAGAAAGTTTGCCGACCAATGGCATAGATCATTTCTACCCCTTTTTCAGCTTCTTGCAGCTACTCATTTAGATGTCTCCAAACCGGTGTTGTCTTGTCAACTGTGAACACAAACAGGGAGTTCTGTGTAACCCTTCCGGACACTCTGCTTTCCTGGGGGACCCTAACAGGGCAGACACAGTGTCACACTGGCTATAACAGAATGCACTTAATTGGAAAGGGGGTCTCTGTCCCTCACCCGTGGCACCCTGAAGACTCCTGGCAAAGTTGCCCGCGCGGCCACTGCGGCAGGGCTAGCGCGCAGCCCAGGGTGCTCCCGGGGTCTTCGGGAGCTGCTATTGTCAGCTCAGCTGTGCCCAACGCAGAGACTGGCAGGCGTGGCTGCCGATCATCGGCAGCCTCGATCATCGCTGCATCCTCACATCCCGTGACCCGGGGTTCTCGGCATTCTTGAGGCTCACAGCCTCACGCTCTTGTCATTCACCTTCTGTCTTTGTACTGGAGCCGCTTGTCTTCCTGTCTTGTTTCCCTTTCTCTCCCCAAGCCTGTCCGACGCATCTCAGCCTTCCCAGCTGAGGGGACAGCGCCCAGTAGAAGAAGGTGGCATCGCAAGGAGGCACAGTCATGCTTCCGAGGGCCAGAGGAGACGCCTACTGCATTTTTCCTGCCTGATTCTTTTCCATTTTCTGCCTTGCCCCCCCTTCTGGGCCGACCACTCCATGGATATCAAAACAAGAGTGCTTTCACCCGCTTTTGCCACCCCACCTCTGTGGCCACGAAGCTGCTTGGTCGTCCGCTTTGCTGCCTCCCTCTCTCGGAGCCGTCCTCTCTCCTGTGGCCCGCAATTGTCCCATCCTCTGCACGGCCTGTCTGCTCTCCCACACTGTGCGCTTCTTAGCCTACCACGGCGACACGCGTGCGTAGGGCTCCCACCACGTCCTGTGGTGGCCAGTGAGTCGCGGACCCTTCCATAGAAATCCTCGTCCTTTGCCCTGATGCGAACCTCTGAGCCGATTGTCCCCTTAGCCATGGGACAGCGAGCGCCCTCGGAGAGGTGCAGCTGGCATATTTTGAGCTGCCCAAGGAGAGGGGCCAGGTCTCATTCACGCTATTGCCAAGCCACGCAGGAAGTGCCCCAGCCCTAACCAGTTAACGAGGGCCTCCGTCTCTACCGGAACTCTGGAATCCACCAGCCCAGAGTGTCTTTTCCGCTCCTATCTTTTCCCAGCGGTGACTTGAGAGGCTGCCGTGGCGGGACGCCTTCGAGGGCCTCTCACGTATGAGGCAGAAACGTGACCCACCTGCCTGACCCTCCTGCAATGTATGGCCTGTTCCAGACACGAGAAATGAGTCGGGTTTCCTCTGGGCAGAGTCAGAAGCAGACATGTCCCTCTTCTCTGGGCTTCCAGATGAGCAGCTGCATGTCAGCCACAGCCTTGCCTCTGAGAAGAACGACAGAATGACGCGTTTTCCTCCCTCAGGTGTGAGAGGGGCCTGGACCATGCCATCCCCCACTACGTCACCACGTACTTGCCGCTGCTGCTGGTGCTCGTGGCCAACCCCATCCTGTTCCAAAAGACGGTGGCCGCAGGTAAATGACAGGGCTGTCCTCGGCGTGCACGGCCACTGGGTACGGCCCTGTGCCTCCGGCTCAGATAGTGACAAATGATGTCCTTCCGGAATTAGCCAGGACAGTTGACCTCATTCATCACCCTCCAGAGACACAGAACACAGCTGGGGAGAGCAGCAGGTTCCATAAAGGGACACGAGCAAGGCTTTGCCGACATTGCTCCCGGCCAGGACGAGTGGACTTTTCCGTCCTGTGCCGGGCCCATCCCGGTCTGCCCCGCGAGTGTCGCTGGCCACCTGGGGCCAGGGTGCGCAGGGGCAGAAGGGGCGGGCCGCAGGGTGTGCAGTGAGGAGGCTCCCGTCCCGGCCACACTCGCCCTCCGCCTTTTCTCAGAGGGGCAGGAGGCGGGACACGGAGCACAGGAAGTGAGTCGAAGGCAGAGCTTGGAACTGGGTAAGACGATGGCGATGTCATGTCGATGTCGCGAGCTGAGGAATGCCAGGGAGAGACCTCTGGGCTGGGGCTGGGCCCTGCAGTGCAGCCCCGGCCACCTCCTAAAGAAGCGTGGCCTGGAGTGACCTGCAGCCTGCCCGGCTGCCCAGGGTCCCCAGGGCAGAGCGGGAATGAGGAAGTTTGCCTCAACCGGAAGGCGCTTGGAGGGTCAGCTGTTGATCGTAGAACCTTTTAAAAACATGGTTTAAAGTACTCTGTCACTCGTAATAGGAAATGATTGCAGCTCTTTGAGCTAGACTTTTCATATCTACATTTAAATGTAGTATATTATTAATAAACATAGCATGTTTTTAACAAAATTGCATAAAAATAGTGATTTGAGTACACCAAACAAATGAAAATGACTTATAGAAAGAAGACTGAGGCCAGCATGGGGACTCACGCCGGGAAACTTAGCACTCTGGGAGGCCGAGGCGGGAAGATCGCTTGAGGTCAGGAGTTTGAGACCAGCCTGAGCAAGAGCAAGAGCCCTTCTCTACTAAAAATAGAAAAAATTAGCCAGGTGTGGTGGCATGTGCCTGCAGTCCCAGCTACTGGGGAGGCTGAGGCAGGAGGATCACTTGAGCCCAGGAGTTTGAGGTTGCTGTGAGCTAGGAAGATGCCATGGCACTCTAGCCCAGGTGATAGAGTGAAACTCTATCTCAAAAAAAAAAAAAAAAAAAAAAAAGGAGAAGAAGACTGAAATAAATACACAAAGATGTTAACAGTGGTTGTCTCTGGATGGAGGGACCAGGACTTGTCAATACTTCTCTAAACCTTTTTTTAAATATTTTCTAAGTGTCTATAAGGAGAAATTTTAATTTTTTCAATATTTTAACGAGCGAATTCTTTTTTTTTGAGACAGAGTATCACTCTGTCACCCAGGCTACAGTGCAGTGGCATCATCACAGCTCACTGCAGCCTCAAACTTCTGGGCTCAAGCGATCCTCCTGCCTCAGTCTCCCGAGTAGCTGGGACTACAAGCACTCACCACCACACTAGGCTAATTTTTTTCTACTTTTTGTAGATATGGGGTTTCACTCTTGCTCAGGCTGATCTTGAACTCCTGAGCTCAAGCAATCCTCCTTCCTCAGCCTCTCAGGGTGCTGGGATTACACTTATGAGCCACTGCAGCTGGCCTGTGAATTATTTTTATAATAGACAAAACAAACCCTTAAAAACATAGTTGCTGGCCATGCACAGTGGCACTTTGGGAGGCTGAGGCAGGGGATCTCTTGAGGCCAGGAGTTGGAGACCAGCCTGGGCAACATAGTGATACCCCATCTCTACAAAAAATAGACAAATCAGCGAGGTGTGGTGGTGCGCCCCTGTTGTCCCAGCTGCTTGGGAAGCTGAGGCTGTAGGATTACTTAAGCCCAGGAGTTTGAGGTAATAGTGAGCTATGATTGCACCACTACACTCTAGCTCTGGCGACAGAGCAAGACCTTGATGTATATAATTCCTGAACTAGAAAAATCCAAATAAAGTCAAAGTAATGTACCTCTGTTACTTTCTTAGTTGTGACAAAGCTCTCGTGGCTGTGTGCAGCGTTCACGTTGCGGGAAGCTGGGTAAGGGGACAGCTATACAGGAGCTCTCTGTGCTATCTTTGCCATTTTTATGTAGATCTAACATTATGTTAAAGTAAAAGTTTTGAAAGCAAATATCCTTAGAGTGTGTGAGGGCGCCACTGGGCGCTGGGGGGCGTGTCAGAGCCCCAGGTCCCGGCTGTGCCCTGGGCTCCCGTGTGCAGTGCTCTGCCTCGCTGGCCCTCTGTGCCTCGCAGTCTCCGGAACTTCAGGCAGGAAACAGTCCTCTCTGTTCTTTGCAGTAGCCTCTCTGCTGAAAGGAAGACAAGGCATTTACACCGAGAACGAGAGAAGGATGGGAGCCGTGATCAAGATCCGATTTTTCAAAATCATGCTGGTTTTGATGATCTGGTAACCTTTCTCCTACTTTAAAAAAAAAATTTTCCAGCATATTATGGGGGTACAAATGTTAAGGTTACATATATTGGCCTTGCCCCTTCTCCCCCCTTGAGTCAGAGCTTCAAGCGTGTCCATCCTTTAGTTTGGTGCGCATCGCACTCATTGTGTATGTGTATACCCATCCCCTCCCCCCCCCACACCCGATAAATGTTATTCCTATGTGTCCACTTAGGTGTTGATCCATTAATACCAATTTGCTGGTGAGTACATGTGGTGCTTCTTTTTCCATTCTTGGGATACTTCACTTAATAGAATGGGTTCTAGCTCTAGCCAGGAAAATACAAGATGTGCTATATCACTGTTGTTTCTTATAGCTGAATAGTACTCCACGGTATACATATACCACATTTTATTAATCCACTCATGTATTGATGGGCACTTGGGCTGTTTCCACATCTTTGCAATTGTGAATTGGGCTGCTATAAACATTCGAGGCAGGTGTCTTTTTCATAGAGTGACTTTTGTTCTTTTCGGTAGATGCCCAGCAATGGGATTGCTGGATCAAATGGTAGATTCACTTGTATCGCTTTAAGGTATCTCCATATTGCTTTCCACAGAGGTTGAACTAGTTTGCAGTCCCACCAGCAGTGTAGGAGTGTTCCTGTCTCTCCACATCCATGCCAACATTTATTGTTTTGGGACTTGTTAATAAAGGCCATTCTCACTGGAGATAAGTGATATCTCCTACTTTTATATTGCCAGTGGGAGGGACGTGCACATGCCTTGCCTTTCGCCTTTGCGAGTGCAACGGCAAGTTGCAAGGGGAAGAGTCTTTGCGCAGGAAATCTGCGAGGCTGTGGGAGTGTCCTTTGAGGCCATGCATGGAGGACAGGGGGGCAAGTCCAACATTCAGGAATTTCTGGAAAAATATTCAAATCTACTCAAATTCTATACAAAGCCCTTAGAACACCAGCTCCTGGTTTGGTTTTGAAATGTCCCAACCGTGGGCACCTGGTTATCTCATCTCACTGCTGGGGTTAAGCAAAATAAAGTGCTTGGCCCTGCTTTTTACATTTACCCGTTTGCCCCATTCTTGACGCCAGAATCACATCTGTGATGACACATGGCTCAGTTAAGAGGCGCAGAGGACAGGCCGAGCAACTTTTCTGTCCTCAGTTTTCCCCACCGCTGGTGTCCTGCACAAATGCTTCAGGTGGATGCTTTGAAAGTTGACCGGTAACCAATGCAAAAAAGACTGGCATCCGAACATGCTGCACCGTGGTGAATCCATACTTTGCAGGACAGGGCAAGCCCTGTGGTGTTAATAATTCACCCGATATGCAGAGGTTCATTTGGAAACCCTCCAGGAGAGACGTAAATAAATAATCTCCCACTAAAAATACACTCAGCTCACCATTTCCAATTTCACTGACCCACCTAGAATAACATTGAAAAATTCCAACACAAAAATGTCAAGATAGGTTTGCTTTGGTTTCTTTCTGTCAAACCTTTAGGTACTTCTCAAACATAGAATGGATTCCGGGTTACGTGACACAGTGCCAGAACTGTCGCCCTGATGTGGTGTCGAGTGTTACCGTTGGAAGGATTTGCTGACCTCTGCTTTAGAGAGGAGTTATGTTTTTGAATTACTTTCTTGGCATGCTGGCTCCTTGTCGTTTTTGACTGCTAAAGTCAACTCTCCACCAAAGAGTTGGCACTTTCAGGCCAGGGTAGAGATTGTTCCCTGACCCCAGCATTAAAAAACAAATCTTATTGAACATTCTCTTTACCTGTGGCCATTTTCTTTCCAACAGTTGGTTGTCAAATATCATCAATGAGAGCCTTTTATTCTATCTTGAAATGCAAACGGACATCAATGGAGGCTCTTTGAAACCTGTTAGAAATGCAGCCAAGACCACGTGGTTTATTATGGTAGGTCAATCTAGATTTCAGATTTTTGCTTGTAAAAAAAAAAAAAAGAAAAGAAGCAGAACCACTCAGAAGTACAACGTATTGTTATTTAAATACAGAATGAGCTGAACCGGTTCCTGGTCTGCCTGCATCTGGCCTTGGTGTGCCAGCTAGCTGCTTCATTCATTGTTGGGATCGTTATTCCATGGTACAACTCCGGTAAATCAGTTCAGCGCAGTGTCAAACCTTTCAGTCAATCGCGTAACGTCACAGCATTGATCTTGAAGGGATATTTCAGACCATGCAGAGATGAAGATATTCCTGGTAGCGTTATCCATAATTATAAAGCATTATAGGAAACTCACATTTCCAAAAAAGAAATAAAAGGGATGGTTAAGTCAATGTGGTCCTTCATCTTGATGGAATGTTCCCAGAGGTTAAAACTGATGATCACAAAATCTCTAGTATTAAGTGGAAAATGTAGGAATATACAATTATACCAACTACAACTACATAAAAACACACATAAGAAAAAATATTGGGCCGGGCGCGGTGGCTCACGCCTGTAATCCTAGCTCTCTGGGAGGCCGAGGCGGGTGGATGGGTGGATTGCTCGAGGTCGGGAGTTCGAAACCAGCCTGAGCAAGAGCGAGACCCCGTCTCTACTATAAATAGAAAGAAACTAATTGGCCAACTAATATATATAGAAAAAATTAGCCGGGCATGGTGGCTCATGCCTGTAGTCCCAGCTACTTGGGAGGCTGAGGCAGGAGGATCGCTTGAGCCCAGGAGTTTGAGGTTGCTGTGAGCTAGGCTGACGCCATGGCACTCACTCTAGCCTAGGCAACAAAGCAAGACTCTGTCTCAAAAAATAAAAAAATAAAAAAATAAAAAAAATAAAAATATTGGCTGGAAATACATGAAATGATGGCACAGTGGAAGCGCCCCGGGTAGACCCCCCCCCCCAGCGTTTTCATTATATTGCATGCATAGTGAGACATGCACGCACGAGTTCTGGGTGGAGAGGTGCTCTCTGTGCTACACAGAATCGATATTTATGGTGCTTCCAATTAGGGAAAATCTCATTCACAAGGACTTTCCGATAAGACCAGCCCTAGCCTCGGGTCCCTGCATTTCGGTCTGGAGCCTGGCCTGGCTCCTTTGGCTAACCGTATGTGTTCTTTTTGTTTTTGAGACAGAGTCTCACTTTGTTGCCCGGGCTAGAGTGAGTGCCATGGCGTCAGCCCAGCTCACAGCAACCTCAAACTCCTGGGCTCAAGCGATCCTCCTGCCTCAGCCTCCTGAGTAGCTGGGACTATAGGCATGCGCCACCATGCCTGGCTAATTTTTTGTTTCATTTTTAGTTGACTGGTTAATTTTTTCTATTTTTAGTAGAGACGGGGTCTCGCTCTTGCTCAGGCTGGTCTCGAACTCTTGAGCTCAAGCAATCCTCCCGCCTCAGCCTCCCAGAGTGCTAGGATTACAGGCGTGAGCCCCTGCGCCTGGCCCGTATGTGTTCTTACTACACACAAGTGCAGGGATGTTTCCCAGACTCATTTTCAGTCTCAAGAACTGTTATTAAGTCAAATTCTGCCTTGGCAGTGCAAGGGGGAAGGCCGCAGGACGCAGAGGCACTCTGGCCGAGGGGGGTGGGAGGTGGGGGGACTTCACTATCAAGTGCCTGTGTCCCAGCGGACTTTGTCGCTCTGACAGCGGAGTGCGCTGATGCCTGGTGTGCCACACTCACCGCCGTGTCTCCTTGTCCACGCAGGGGATGCTGAATCCAGCCCAGGGATTTCTCCTGTCGCTGGCCTTCTACGGCTGGGTAGGGTGCAGCCTGGAGTTTCAGTCTCCCAGGAAGGAGATCCAGTGGGAATCGCTGACCACCTCGGCTGCCGAGGGGGCTCACCCGGCTCCGAGGGGCTCCCACGAGCCCCACGAAACCCCCGATTCCAGAAAGGTGTTGAGACTCGGTGGGCAGACTTCTGACGAAGCCCTGAGCATGCTGTCTGAAGGTAACACCCACCTGCCAGGGCCCCACAGCTGCCCTTGCAAATCCTTTACCAAACAACAGGTGGCCCAGTGTGGAGGGGCGTCCTGGTGCGAACACTGAACTTTGGGGTGCGAATGGAAAGTTCTGGTTGCTGACAATGACTCCACTCTTGCATTTTGCCATCTACCTCTCCTTTCATATTCCAGTGGTGCCTGTCATTCATTCATTTACGGCGTTACACGGTAGCCATAATTCTCGCTGGTTCCCTGTTGGGTTAGATGGCATCTTGGTTTTTATTTTCCTAAATATTAAGGGGGTACAAATGTATTTGTTACATGGATAGCCTTTGTGGATGGCACTTTGAATATGGGATACATTGTCACGTTAAGCCCTTTGACACATTGGCTGCGAGGCAAGGAATGTTATGATGTGGCCTTCGGGTTATAGGTGCAGTCTAATCGGTCCCACCCGCCGGCCAGGGCTGACGCCTCGGATCTGTGCTTTTCACACGGAGACTCTAGCACTGGGGTCTTCAAGCTGTGCTCTGAGGAACAGTAACGTGGTGCTTCAGCCATCCAGTAAATGGTTCAAATTCCATCCCAAAGTTCACGTGATAAAAATCATGCATACTTAAAATGTGTTGGCTACCAAGCATTGACCCACAAACCCACTGACTTGGCCTGCTAGGGTCGCTAGCCTGTGTGGGGGGTCCGGAATATGTTCTTCACTTAAGTGAAGACTTAAGTCCTCAGATAGCAAGGTGAACCACTTAAAAGCTGTTCCATTTTCAGCTCCTCAGCCATTTAAAACTAGATTTTTTTTTTTTAAGATAAACTCTCATTCTGTCACCCGGGCTAGAGTGCAGTGGCGTCTTCGTAGCTCACAGCAACCTCCAACTCCTGAGCTCAAGCGATCCTCCTGCCTCAGCCTCCCAAGTAGTTGGGACAATAGGCAGGTGCTGCCATACCTGGCTAATTTTTCTAATTTTAGTAGAGACGGGGTCTCACTCTTGCTCAGGCTGGTATTGAACTCCTGAGCTCAAGCGATGTCCCACCTTGGCCTCCCTGAGTGCTAGGATTACAGGCGTGAGCCACTGTGCCCAGCCGCAATTTTCTTGATAGGGTGCAATCAAATTAAAACAGAGAAAAAATGAGATGCTCAAGTCGGTAAAAGATTATAACTTTCACCTCAGTTTTGGTTTCAAAGTTTTATGTTGACTAAAGCGTCCTTATAGTTCTGATTGATCACAACATTTATTTTTTATAAAATTCAAATTGCAACTTATGAAATAAATTCTTGCTAATATATTCTTCTGTGTTAGAGTTCCTTGTAAGGTTTTATTTTAGCAAAAAAAAAAAAAATCTTTGGGTTAGGAAAAGAAGTTTGAAAATCACCACTCTGACATGCATGGAGTTTTTAACTTAGCTGGCAATTTATAATGAACAAGCAAATCGGTCCTTAAGAGGAGGTCTCTGGTGGCTATAATTTCATGGTGGCCCACTGGATGTCTAGGAAGGAGGGAGAGGGAATCTGAGAGTCAGAATGCTTAAAAACATCCAGGGACTTAAATGCTGCCTTGCCTGTCCTCAGCTGGGTGGTTGGGACTGGGGAGAGGTAGGGCCAGGTTCCCTGTCAGATCTCTCGTCCACCCACCGCCTCTTCCCTGTAGGATGTTTAGCAGCCTCCGGGCCTCCACCCACTAGATGCTGGACTAGCCTCCCCCAAGTGTGAAAACCGAAACTGCTTCAGACATTGGCAAATGTCCCCTGGAGAGCCACCTCGGCCCCCAGTCCAGAACTGCTGCTTCAGGATAATCCAGCTTTCTAAAAGCTTGGATCTAAAAATATGATTTCCCCAAATTGTTGTCTGAGCTGAATGTGCACACACACAAAACCAACGACAAACATCACCCAGTCCAGACCACTTTGGTTTGTACCAAAATAATGTTGAAATCTGGAGTGGGAAAGATATGCAGAAAGATGTCCGGAAATGGCTTAAAGAGCTCCATTTTCTTTGCTGCTTCTGCTATTCAAGTGCATGGAAGGAAGGTTCATTTTTAGGTGATGAGCTTGTTTTACTTCCGAGGCCAAAACATATGGTGATGAATGGAGGGACTGATCCATGAGACGATCCTGTCCGGTCGTGAATGAGAGCTGGCGTTTTAAAGTAGCTGAGCGGATCTTTGACGGTCAAATAAAATGCTAGAAATAACAATAAAAGCCATCCTGATCCTCACCCTGCACCCCACCCCCGTCACCACCTGCACATGTCAGTCCGCCATTCCTCATCTTCATCCAGTGGCCCACGGCACAGAGCAACTCCTAGCAGTCCTGTCAGGCATGGGGAAGAGCTTGCCCTTGAGACTTGGACTCCATTTATTTAGTCAGTTTTCATTTTGGAAAATGAAAGACATTTGGAAAATGTCTTTTGAGTTTGGATAGTGACACAGCTAACTGGTGACATTGGCTGTCACACAGTGGCATTTCCCTTCCTTACGGGAGGTGAGAGAGTTCCAGTCTTCCAGCTGTAGAGAACCACCAATGAGTGGCGCAGCCCCAGTCCTGTGCTGCTTTTTTTTCCCTTCCTTTGCTTTTTAAAAAAATTGACATAAAATTCACATACCGTAAAATTCACCCACAGCAGTCCCTCCCCGCCTCCCCTCTGCCGGCCCCTGGCAGCCACGGATCTACTCTCTGTCTCTATAGAGTTGCTTATTCTGGGCTTTTCATATAAATGGCATCGTATAATATTTGTCCTTTTGTGTCTGGCTTCTTTTACTGCGTTGTAGCATGGATCAGAATGTTCTTTTTATGGCTGAAAACCATTCTATTGCACGGATAGAATCACTGTTTGTTTAGTGTCTACTGATGACGCCTGAACCCCGGCAGGTCCTGCTGCACACTGTAAACCTTGCGCTCAAGGACTGCACAGTGCGTTGGATAAAATTTTTAAAAATGTCATATTCTATTATTCTATTCTAATAATAGAATAATTAATTGAAATACCAGTTTGAGAAAATTTTGGAGGAAAAAAGGAAGCATATAAAGAAAGGTTTTCGAGAAAAACAAGAAATACAATCAGTATTTCTAATGGTGGAAAGCATTTCTGTAAAAATGGCAGCTGCCAACTCAGAACGCATAGTGACATATTGTTAGCTGACATCTGTGGGGTCACGCTGTTTGAGGACTGTTTGAAACACAGAGTAACTTTGCAAAATTAACAAGAAACATCTTCTGCTAACGTATAAAGTATTTGACTGAACACGATGGCTTGAGCCTGTAGTCCTAGCTACTCGGGAGGCTGAGGCAGGAGGATCGCTTAAGGCCAGGAGTTCAAGGCTGCAGTGAGCTATGATCACACCACTGCACTCCAGCCTGGGCAACACAGCGAGACCCTATCTCTAAATTTTTTTAAAAGTATAAAGTAGAAAATAAAAGTGGATGTGCTCCTGAGGTGGCAGTTAGGGTCTCAAGTTTACATCTAGTCGCCCTTGGGATATATTAAAATTGTGCATGATATGTACTTGTCACCATTTTGTATATTGTAAGCCTATGCAGGAATTTATGTTATTATATTAATCAATCTAGTGAGAATTAAGAGGACTTTTATTCAGAAATTAAATATTAATAATTGAAGTGTTTTGCTGTCTAGGACACTTCAGCACATTTATGAAGATTGGCACATCTAACTTGTGGCTGTCATCAGTATTGTACTGTCTGGGGACAATTTTAGGATTCCTTCTAACTCTTCCTTCGTCATTATGTCTCTGGGGCCACCTGCCTGTCACCTGGGAATGTGCTTCCCTTCCCTGTCAGTGGTGGAGAAGCTGGAGTGTCATTCGGATTTTCTTACCAGAGCTTTACCAACTGCAGAAATGTCTCCAAGCTGCCTCCCTCCCTGCCTGTGGGCACAGGCTCATGGTGTGGAGAGCTGGGCAGCATGACCCTTGGGACTGTGTAAATCCTCTCCTAGCCCCCTCTTCTACCCACGTGGCCCTCACTAAATGGAGCTGAATTTAGGTAACTTAAATGTGCATGTGATGCTACTTCTGTGCATAAAGTTAAGGAAAACCCCTTGCCAGCACTGTTTGCCTAGTGACTTAAGCTGATCATTAGCACCTAAGTGGGTAGCAGAAAACTCAGCCACAGGCTAAGCTAGGCTTCTCCCTGTGTAAACTGTCCAGACAAAGCTCAACTTGTTCTGCTTTGTCTTTTGCTACAAGGCCAGGAGGCTCACGCGGAGCCCTGTTAAGTGTCTGATGTGGCGGCTGCCACTTACTAGGCATTTCACACAAGTTAGCTAAATTCCACCTTAAATATTCACTCAGCATCTGCTATACAGTCAGCCCCATTTCAGCCAGGGTGGGTGAGTGTCCCTGAGAAGTATAATGTATGAAACTCACAAATAAGTAAGGACAATGCTCTTTTTCATTTTTGAAAACTCTGTGACATGTTAAAAGAGTACAGAAAACGCAGGACTAGGTTGGGTTTTGGAGCGCGGGTGAGGGTTTCCCTGGAGGCGTCTGCAGGTAGTGTCTACACGGTAGCCCTGCGTCGGGGGAGGGGAGGAGGACAGTCCAGACGAGGAGGGGCTGTGGAGCGGGGCAGGCCATCGGCCCTCCTGGGGACCTGCAGCCCGGCCTGCTGTGCTGGCATCAGGGGCTTCCGAGGCCGGTTGGGACCAGAGGTTTGATGAAGGGTTTTGTACAGCTCCTGCTAAGGAGCTGGATTTTATCCGGTGGCCAGTGAAAGGCCAGTTAAGGTTTGTAAGCAGAGGCGGTGCCCATAGGCCCAGCCCGGGGGGCATGGGTGCGGTGGAACCGCTTGCACGCTTCTGTTCCGGGACTGCAGCGGTGCTCTGCACGCGGGTCTGCGTGTGGCTCAGCGTAGTGGGCTAGAGTGGGTCTGGAGACACGCGAAATAAGTCATTATCAGACCAGGATTGTGCATCTGCCGCCGAATTTCACTCCCAAACGTGCAGGTCTCACAGACCTGGTCCTCTGGGTCTCCCAGGACTACACCAAGGAGGGGCTAGGAGCCTGGCAAGGCGGGTGGGGCCTGGGTGGAGCTCTTGGGTGGGGCTCGGCAGAGGGGTGGGGCCAGGGTGGAACTCAGGGGTGTGGCCAGGAGAAAAGGTGGGCACAGGGTGGAACTCAGGGGGTGGCCAGGAGAAAAGGTAGGCACAGGGTGGAACTCAGGGGGAGGCCAGGCAGAAGGGTGTGGCCAGGGTATAGCTCATGGGTGTGGCCAGGTGGAGGGGTGTGGCCAGGTGGAGGGGTGTGGCTAGGGTGGAGCTCATGGGTGTGGCCAGGGTGGAACTCAGGGGTGTGGCTGGGCAGAGGGCTGGGGCCAGGGCAGAGCTCGTGGGTGTGGCTAGGTAGAGGGGTGGGGCTAGGGTGGGGCTCATGGGTGCGGCCGGATCTAGGGGTGGGGCCAGGCAGAGGGGTGGGGCCAGGGCAGAACTCAGGGGGTGGCCAGGCAGAGGGATATGGCCAGGGTGTAGCTCATGGGTGTGGCCAGGTGGAGGGCTGGGGCCAGGGTGGAGCTCGTGGGTATGGCCAGGCAGAGGGGTGGAACCAGGGTATAGCTCATGGGTGTGGCAGGGCAGAGGGCGGCGCCAGGGTGAAGCTCTCCAGTGTGGCCAGGCAGAGGGGTGGGGCTAGGGTGGAATTCAGGAATGTGGCCAGTCAGAGGGGTGGGGCCAGGGTATATAGCTCATGGGTGTGGCAAAGCAGAGGGGTGGGGCTAGGCTGGGGTTCATAGGTGTGGCCTGATCTAGAGGTGGGGCCAAGGTGAGACTCAGGGGTGTGGCCAGGAAGAGGGGTGGGGCCAGGGTGGAACTCAGGGG